GCTTTTGGCTGGCTTCGATTTCCCTCCACTTGGGAGCAGCTGTCACGGCCATTTAGCTGCTTAGCGCCGCAAAATCACTGCAAATCCTTGACTAAAGCAAGTCTCCGAGTCCTGCCTCCTGCGTCCTGCATTCCAGTCCCCAAACTAATTGCAAATGCAGCCAGCTGAGACTGCAGCAGACGGCGCACGTGAGGCGCATTGGCCGATGGTCTTGGGTCTGGGTCTGCGCCATCGATTTGTGGCTTGGTTGGCTGGCTGGCTGGCACGTCCACGTCCCACACGGATCGCATCATTTGTGCAGCTTCTCCATCAGCGTTTTTCGTTCGCCGTTTGCTTTGGTATAACAATCCGTGATATGCAAAGAACTGCTGGGGGAAACAGGTCCCAGGATTAGCCCCCGAATCGTGCCATGCCCATTAAAGAGTCACGCAAGGGAGGAGGCAGCGAAACCCGCAAAAAGTCAGACTAATTTGAGGACCCTTGACCCACCCAACCCACCCCACCCTTTCCCGCTTCAGATTTTTCGGCTGTGTGGGCGGAGGGTCTCTGCGGCGTTTTGGCTTTAATTTTAAACCTTTTGACATTGGCCCCCGTTGAAATTTGCCTTTTTGGCACTTTGCTTTTCTTTTTTCGTTTCTTTGCTGTCTTTTAAATGCCTTTATTTGCATCGTCAAGTCGAGAATTTCTCTAACTTTTTCTTTTTGTTTTTTTTTGGGTTAGCCCTCAGGTGCTAATGAATTCATAATGGAAACGGGCACTGGAACAGGTCATAAATTATGGACCAGAGGGCAATGTAGATGTATTTTTAAGATTCAGTTGCGAAAAACCGAAAAGAAACGAGAAACGGCAGCACACTGAATAATTTCCTTTGGGGCAATTGTCTCATGATGGCAGCGAGGGGCATGGTGAAGGGTGTGTGGATGTTTGGGATTAAATATAGAAATTATATGAGACTGCCAGCAACAGCTCCCATCTTTTTTTTCTGCTTTATTTATCTGATGTTAAGCCTTCTGCCATTTCTATTTTCTATTTCTATTAGTCAGAATTGTTTCAAGATCCTTCTCTATTTCTATCATGTTTTCCCTTCGTCTATTTGCGCTACGGCTAGTGCATATGCTAATTGACATTTGATTATTAATTTCAATTCGAATCTGTTTGAAAATGCATGTCCAATGGAATGACTTTTGCCCCCCATCCATCCTCATTCACATTCTCATTCTCATTCGTTTCTGTGCATCTGTGTATCCATCGAATGCTCTGCCATGCATCCACGAGTAGATACTCGTTCACGTATCTCAGTACGAGTATCTGTGTATCTGGGGCAATGTAAATGTCAATTGGTTATGGATGTTTGCCATCGCAGGCAGGCCCTGAAGTCATTTGGTATCTTTTATTAATTGAATGAGGGAAAAAAAATGCATTTACTAACCGGGCTTAAATCGAATATATATACATATATATATATATGTGTTCTCGCGCTCACCGCAAAAACCAATTTGATTGGGAATTAAAATTCGAAATAAAATAAACAAAATGCTGGCCAAGGACCAACGGAGGAGAGCTAAGAAATGTTGTATAAACATTCCGAGTAGTTTTTAGTTTTCAGTGCACTGCACACCCAGGCACACACACACACACACACACACACACACACACTCTATCCTTCATGCACTGACAAATCCCAATCCCCGACTGGGAATGAGACTGAGGCCGATGCTAAAGCTGATCCTGAGATTGTGTTGTAACAAGTTAATTGAATTTGCACTCAGCCAAGCGTCATGCATGGGCTTAAGGCAGCATGCAGCAGTCAGGCAGGACGGCAGGCAGACAGGCCATTTGGGAGCTGCTGCATCTACCGATACAACCGATGCTTATTTTATGGCCGTCTCAAATGGAGGACTCGATTCTGATTCCAGCTTCTACTTGCAACATCTAATACCTTCGCCCTACTGCCGTCCTGCCTTCTCTTCAGCTTTTTTTTTTTTTTCCAATTTTGTGATTTGCACAGATTTCTGCTTGACGTCCTTGCCAGGACCTAGCTGCTAGTCTTTTCTCGGATGGTATTCTACCAGCATCCTGGTCTATTTTGTTGCAAGCGTGTGTTCTCTCTCTCTCTCTCTCGCTCATTTCTCTCGTCCCTGATTATACTTCTCCTACATTTCGGTGTGTGCAACATTGTCGAAGGTGGGAGCCAAGTGCATTAAGCGCATGTGAAACAGTGCCAAACAAAGGCACGCCCCCAGACTCCTCCGCTGCACAGCCTTTGCCGTTGATCCTAACAGACAAATTACTGGCCTGAAGGAAGCCAAACTCAGATGGAGAGGTGGGATGCACGGAGCGAGCGTGCTTTTAGCAGATTAGTTTCCATCATCTTAGCATCCCTAATTAATGAGGGCCCTTTGTTTTGCAGCACTGTTTTAGGTGCTAAATCGTAGACTTTGCCCCGGTTCCCTGTTCCATGGATGCCTCCTAATAAGCCTGGAGTAGTCGTCGCCTCCCACCAGCAAGGTGTACAGGCACGCCCACACCTCTCTCTCTCTATCTCTGCGAATAAGTAAAAAGATTGCTTTATTGCTCATCTTTTTAATACACCATACCATCCATACATAGAGTACATGAATGCGGTGTATTTAATTCGCGAGAGGTTTAAATACACATAAATACCAGACATACCAATTCAATATCCAATAAAACTCAATTCCTTTAATTCATCACCAAATATGCATTTCCTAATAAATCTCGCTATGCCATATAAATCAATTGCAATCAAAAATAATTAAATATAATATTTTCACAAATAAAATTTACCAAACAAAACCAACGAAAATGAGGATTTTGATTTTATTTGAAACTTTTTAACAATTATTTTAACAATGCAACGCATTCATTAACGCCCTGGGCACTTAATTAGGTTTGGAAAATAAGCGCCGCGGGTTTGTTTGTGTCGCACAATGGCATTGCCTCATTTATTTTTGATATTTGAGGGCTAATATTAGTAATAATATACCAGCGAAACTCACAATAATAATAATAATAATCATAGTTAAATTCTGAATTTGAATTAAGAGTCAAGCGAAATGCAAAAACGTGAAAGTTTGTAAAACTAATTTCCGGCGAATGATTGCAGTGGGGAAGGCTGGTGGAGTGAAGGAGTGGGTCTGGCGGGAAATGTCAAAAATGTTTTTGACAAGTCCAATTTAGAACATTTTCAACATTTTCATCGTAATTAACTTCTGGGAAAGCCAATTAGCGACCGCACACACTCACACACACACACACAAACAAACTGATGTATAATTTGTGGACACACTCTGCTTACAGTGCTTACTAATTATATTGTATATATTTATATCTGTAGAATGTGGGTGTCCCCCTGCCCCTGTTCTAACAACTCATTCCGAACTCTGCTCACGAAGCGCCACCATATCGTAAATAATGGAGTAAAGTGCATTTTGCATAATAATTACTGTGTAAATATTTAACAAACAGGAGCGGACTCAACGATAAGGTGTTCAATGCCAGCTGGGTTCTATTAATCATGCGAGAAAATGCAAGAAAGCTAAGCAAAAGTAGAGAAAACACCAGGAAAGATCTAGCTAATGTTACTTGAGTAATAGTTATAGGTCTGGAAGACAATCTTATCGCAATGCTCCGCTCCTGATGCAGAGATCAAAATGAGCCACGGCGAGGCGTCACCAAGTGGCTTAAATGAGTTGCCAAGTGGGGTAACGAAACGCGTGTGAGTGATGGGAGCGCGTCACGTCGACAGTGTCAGCGTCAGGCAACTAGCAACTGGCAGTCGGATAGGATGATGATGGTACGGTCGTATCGGATGGGATGCCAATAGGAACAGGAGAATGCGAGAATGTGGGTTGGCTGCACAGTTGGCTGACATTACACTTGCTTGTCAACGGGTGTAATTGCGTTGACGATGACTCTCCATTGCCCGCGCCAGCGCCGTCTCATGCTGCTCCTTGTTAGTGGTGTCAATGATGATGACTACGACTATGACTACGGGTGTGATGAAGTGTTCCTTTCCGTGGTAGTGGTAGTGCCAGTGGCTATGGCTATGGCTGTGGCATTTGCAAATGCCATTGACTTGAAGCACAATACACAATAATTGGCAAGTGACGGCAGTTTAGGAGGGGCTGGCGGCGCATCAATAACGAGTACTCCACACTCACTCCATTCCTCCCCCCCCCCCCCATTAACAATCCGCCAAGTCAAGACCCTGGCTCTATGCCATGCTGGGAGCCCAAATCACACCCATTTATCAGTGGGGAACAAGCAGGCGGTAGAGAGAGAGAGAGGGAGAGGGAGAAAGAGAGAGACCTGGAGCTGCCACAGCGTTGGAGACGGCTAATTGCAGTTCAAGCGAAAAACATCGTTAATCAACTCATTGACAGTTTGTTATTTGTTAAACAAAGCTAATGACTTAATGGCATAAATGGTGTGGCAACTGCACCAGCAACAGCAACAGCACCAGCAACGCCACGACACCACCATGGCCAAAAGGATATGGCCAAAGACAGCTCCCAGGATGGCAGAGCTGTAGAATAAATGACACGACAGCTCAGGGCACAAGCACGGACACGGGCATGGGCACTAGCCTCCTCATCGTTGCCGCCACCTTCGTCCCATGTCCCTCCCCGTATTTATGTAGATACAAAAACAATAAAATGACAAGCCAAAGGTAAAGTTAATTGTTCTGGGGCGGCCCCGGGATGGCATGGAAGCAACCATGTGGGGCGTGGCCAATTGCCTGATCACGCTTCACCCATGGGAGAGGGAGGGCGTGAGGGAGAGGCAGTGGGATAGAGGAGCATACTGTTCAGAGGGAATCATCGCCTACTGCTGTTCACATAGGAAAATAATACTCGCAAGTGAAATTTTCATAAATTTCAACAGTTTTTTCGGATCATGGGAGGCCGTACGTATGGGCCTGTCGTTGGGGCCTAGCCCCGGAATTCCTAATTCCTCAGTCGTAGGCAGTTCATCGTTAGATTCAGATCTCTACAGAAAACTACAAAAATTATATAAAGTAATTTTTTTTATTTTGTTTTCTAAATTTTTTCTGTGAAAAATATTTTCGGTTTATAATTTGAATTTTGAAATATCAAAAAAAAAATTCGTTTTAAATTTTCGAAATGAATTTTTGTTCGGTTCCCTATGAAGCTGATTTTGGCATGAATGCAGAAGCCAATAAGGTACGGTTGCCACAGCGTGTTGCAAGTGTCAAAAGTGTTGCAAAGTGTTTACCGTCTCCCATCTCCGTTGCAGATGATGAACATGTCCGCGCAAATGGGCATGCAACAAAATGTTGGCCAGGGTCAAGGCCAAGGCGCTGGTGGCATGCCCATGTCCATGGCGCCACTGAACCAGCCCCAGATGAGCCTGCCCCCAATGCAGATGCCGCCGATGTCCACGGGTCAGATGTCCTATCCGATGCAGGGTGGCGGCATGCAGCCCCTGCCCTTGGGTATGATGCCGACTGGCAATGCCATGACGCCACTGGGCACCATGTCCTCGCATCTGCCCATTGGGGCAGTGACGCCGCTGAACAGCATGACCATGGTGCCGATGATGGGCAACTCGATGGGCAGTATCGATGCACCGGGCGTGAACGCGGTCCTATCGGATCTTCAGCCCATGTCGAACATGCAGCAGATGTCCTCCATGCCCCAGATGGGTGGCATGCCCCAGATGGCTGCCATGCCTCAGATGTCGCAAATACCTCAGATGTCACAAATGTCGCAGTTGCCGGCGATGCAGCAGTTCACCCAAATGCCGCAAATGCAACACCAGGGACGTCTTACCGGCGGCGGCGTCGCCTCCAATTGCAGTCACAGCCCTGGAAATTGGAGCTGCAGCCATGGCAACAGCCAGCCAATGATGAGCAATAATATGTGGCAGTACGGAGGTAGTCCCTCCCAACAACACCAGCAGCAGTCGCAGCAGCAGCAACAGCAGCAGCAGCAGGCCCAACAGAATCAGCAGCGCATGAAATCTCACTACGAAATGATGAGCAACAACTACCGGGATGTGCGCAATGGCCTAAAGTGAGTTGAGAGAACATTTTACACAATTAAAGGATATTTATTTTCGTGACATTTCTTGACATATTTTCCATAGCTCGCCTTCCATGTTTGCACTTCGTGACACCAAGGGCAACAATTCATTTAATTCAAGTGAGTTTCTGTCACAGAACAAACCTGTATGGGGGAAAGATCCCAGCTTACTTTACTCTAACGTTTCTTTTTAGGTAAATCACTTAACAAGGTCTGGCGTTGATGATACATTGTTAACCAATTGATAACCAATCATTCACTTGAGTCGTTTTGTTACATTTCGAATGATTGGGATCGTCTGTATCATAGATGCATCCTGTCTTGTACAGTCCCCTCCGCAAGCATGAACAACAACAACAACAACTAAACCAACACTCACACAGATACAAAAGAACAACAACAAATAACAACATACACAATGGTCCAGCGCACACACACGCGCATGTACAATGAGAATAAATGGTTTATATGTCTTGATCAAAGCAAGATTCATCATCGAAAGCGAACGTTTTTTCATTCGGTTTTTCTTTTTGGCCCAAAAGGTTTTCATTTTTGTGACTTTAGACGCATTGATTTATGGCATACAGACATCAAAATTGGCAACAGAAAACGCCAGAGTAACGAATCAGCGCCAAAGACGATAAAAAATTTATGCTGACCGCATGATGAACGCATAAAAAATGTTGCCAACTTATGGGCCCCAAAATGCAATCCCCTGCCCTGGCTCTGGTTCCTCCTCCTCATGCTGCCTGTATAAACAATGGCTTTATCGAGCCACTGGCATCAGTTGGTTGTGGCCCACAGTCCGCAGTGTGGCTTTCCTTTCCCCATGCCCCCGCCCCATTCCCCATTGCCCCTGTAACACCACACCCATGAAGCCAGTGCCAGAGAGCTGAAGTCGTTAGATTCTGGCAGTCCAGGCGAAGGTGTGAATATTTTATGTGGCACTATTTTGATACCATAAATCTTTTAGTAGTTGATTCTGGAAAAGTTTTTTGCGTTTTACCGCATTTCGTTTTGTGGTTTCGTTTCGTTTTATTTTACTTTATTCCCCCAACCCCCTTTCCCAGTCAGTTCGGTTCGGTTCGTTTCGTTTCATTTTGTGCAAATTGCAATTCCAGTGTTGAGCAGTCCGTTCCCTTTGATGTGGCAACTGTACTTCTTTGAGGTGCTTCTATTGAAGGCGGATTTCCATGGATTTGATTGTGGTTTAATATAATTTCGTTTTCGATAAATATACAGATTTCCTTGATTAGAATTTTCTGCCTACAAAGCAACATTTTTCGGTATTGGTTTTCTGGGATTGCGCTAGCCTTTTATTTCCTTTGTATGAATCTCATTTCAGAGCATTCCTCTCTTCCATTCAAAGCCAGTCTTCTCTCCTTCTGATGCACCCATAAGTTGCACATGCCCCAAATATTATCTGCAGCAAGCGAAAGCATTTTACATTTTGCATCATTAAAATTAAAGGACGAACAAATAGACAAAAAAAAAACCCAAGCCACAAAAACAGGCAGACAGTTGAGTGGACGTTGAATGCTCGGCGATTCGGACATTCTGAAAAGTTTTTCAGTTAGAAGAAGGAGACTGAAGTGCACAGGAGATGCCGAGAAGTTTTCCGGGAAAGTTTTATGGCGCAGGCGAGGGGGGCTTATACCAATGCACAAATTTTATTCATGACGGAAGCAATACTCAAATTTCGTCTATTAATATCTTGGCAAAGGGATGAGTGCGAGGAAGTCCTGGGCCAGAACTCCAAATCTAACTGTCAGGGTCCCTGGCCGGGTCCAACTTCCAGAGACTATGCATGTCGAGGAGCCAGCGCCAGCGCCAGCCCCAGCATCTGTCCAACTGTCCAACTGTCAGTGCAACTGTCTGTCTGTTGGTCTAACTGACACACACTCTCACACACAAACACATACAAATGCTCAAACAGATGTGGTCACTGGGTGAGATAGTGTTTTGGTGCTCGTCACAGCCCACCAACCGGGGTGCACATTGCCAACATAACCTCAAATTGCATTCCTAATTCCTTTTATATGCCATACCACGTCCCATCCTTTCCCATTCTTTTCCTCCTCTCTGACCTACCCTTCCCTTGCGAACACTTTCTGCAAAATATGCAATTTACGCTCGAAAGGTTGCACCAACACACACACACACACACACACACACACACACACATCCCAGATGATCCATCCCTCCCTCCCATACAATAACACCCACCAATTTCTGAAAATATTTTCTACCATACCAATTTCTTAGTTATTCTGCTCTTTTGTGGGAAAACTTTTGTGTTGGCCCTCAACTAATGTACATACATACGTCATATTATTGTCCAATTGCGGAAACGAGCAATGCGAATGAAAAAGCCTTCACTCATGCAGTCTCCGTCTCTGCATCTGTTCATCTGTCTGTCCATCTGTCCATCAGTCAGGTGAAGGTAAGGGTAGCACTTACTTTTGCCAAATATTATGTCTTTGCTGAGTGAGGAGTGCCAAAAGCATTTAAAAATCCTAGACACCCTTTAGTCCTATATTAAGTACTCAAAACTAGCTGAAGTTCGGGCTTTACCTGTCAAGGAGTATGTACATGCTCGTACATATGTAAGGCTTCTAAGATAATCAATTTGGCTTGTATGTTTCATCCCAATTAAAATACTTAGACTCCTTTGAGTGATTATTCGGAGGTATTTAGTATTCATTTAGCATTTTCAAAAGTAACTATCAATTATTTCCATGTCCTTTTTGGATTCTTGTGTGTTTGAACCAGCTTACGTATTTGAATATTAATTTCAAATTGATGTAAGCACATGGTAATGTCCCCCCCTTCCTCGATGACTGTGTTAGACAACGAAAAATGTTGTGTTTTGTAACCTCACAAAAGGCAAACTTGTGGCATTTATATACATACATACAATATGTGCATACACGTACATACTTCATGTGGCATCTACCACACTCGTTCCCTGCCTCGAGTTAGCACAATGAAGACGAGTTTTAACTTGTCGTTTGTTGCATTTGTCAAATGTTGTTGCACTGTGACTCTCCCCAATATTGACAGAGGGTCCAGGACAGGGAAGTCTTGTTGTCCTTCTATATTTGGGAATGTCTCCTCCCCTGTGTCTCTGAGCAAGAATTTGCCGACTGCTTTTCGGATTGTTAGGCGTCCAATAGTTCCCTGTGGCCCCTGTGATCCTGCATCTCGCTCTCTCTCTGAGTCCTGCTCTGTTCTGTTTTGAATGTGGGCCAACTTTTTGAAACTGTGCCAACTTTTGGCTTGTTTTTGCTGATAACTTCATCATCGTCATGACGTCCTCTCGTCATTCTCATTCAAGTGGAACCAAAACCGAACCAAACCAAACCAAAAAAAAAAAAAAACCAGGAAACTAAAAACGAGACAACAAGGAAACAAAGAAAAGGAAAACTCGTTGGGCAAATGTTTTGTCATGATTTTTCCACTCCTCCTTGGGCCTTTATAGACTCGTCTGCTGTCAATGAAAAGAACCTGCTGCAACTTGATTGTGCATACTCGACATATGCACATCACTTGGCCCAGATTATCGAACCAGGCACCGCCCCCCGCCCCCGTCCAGCCAACCATGTCCTGATGTCCACATGGAGCACTGGTATGGTATGGTAGGATGAGGCTAGGTGTGTCCTCGCTATGGCTGATGCCATGGCTAATGGCTTTTTGTTTTGCACATTTTGGAGCCTTTGAGTAATTAAATTTATGGATGCATAAAATGCCAACCTGTTCGCTTTCTCTCTCTCTCTCTCTCTCGCTCTCTCTCGGGGGCGGGAGCGACTGTGGACCTGCTTTACTGTTCAAATGTTTGACTTTTTTGGCCACGTCCATAACTGTACGTTCGTGTGTTGCCCCCCTCTTTGTCTTTCCGTTTGCCCACACTGTCTGTCTGTCGGTCTGTCAGTCTGTTGGTATGGACATCCAATGAGCTTACATTTGCCTGCTGCTTTGCTGGCTATTAATTTCGAGTGGTTCGAGTGGTTTGGGGGGCACACATTCAGGGCCCATGTGTACACATGTTTGGGCTTGTAAAAATGTCATGTTCATTTGTGGATTGTGCGACCGAAATGGAGCACCACAAAGAGCGAGAGAGAGGGGAGAGAGAGAGAGAGAGAGAGAGAGAGATATGGCGAGTGAGAGAGAAAGAGCATGCAAATAAATGTCTCGCACATGCCACCCATCCAAAAAAAGAGACAGCAGTGTTCACCCACGCATTTGGCCATTGGCCTTCGCTCCTTCCTTCCAGAGAGCCGGCAAGCGAGCGAGAGCGGATGAGAGAGAGAGAGAGGGATTTGGGAGACGGGGGCTTTTTTCAGCAGATTTATGAGTGAATCTGATAAGTGCTGCCAATAAATTTTCGGACAACAATTTACAATGTTCATTCCATGTTCCCATGTTCCATGTGCCTTATGGAGCTGTGCTGGTCTCCTTACGTTTCTTTCGGCGACTGACTGGACATGGAATGTGGGAAATGGGACTTGGTACTGGTACTGCCACTTGAGGGTTTGGGGCAATGTGTTTTGGGTTATTTTATTGCCATTAACTGAAGAACTGGAGCAGATCTGGGATCCGTTGGGGATCTAGTGCTAGTTCATGCGGAACACGAAAAGGCAACTGAACTGAACTCTTTTTCGCTTTGAAACGAATGGAAAATTTCTTGAAAAGAGCAATAAAACTACTTTTGGGCTTTTGGGCAACTTTTGGGCAAGAAGATTAACGAGAAATGCTCATCTGTTAGTGTTTATATGCTTTCATAAGCACATAATTTGTACATAATTGGCAGATTTACAGATATGCAGTTACTTAAAGATGTTTTTGCATCGTAGTATAGTGTAAATGGTATACAAATCAAATACAAATAAACTGTAGATCCTTCCATGTACCTTCACTGTTAGAAGAAGTAGTTCCCAGAAATCACACACAGCTTTTACCTGTGTTTGCCATTTATTTAAAGCAGCTTACAATCTCACTCCATTCTGTAGCAGTCTCCATCTCTATTCATTTGCAATCTCACTAATTATTCAATTTAAGACTTTCACTCAAGGGTTTGCCGCAAAGGATTGCCAAATGAACAAAGCCTTATATGCAACATGCTTAATAACAAAAGTCTTGCCGCAGCAGCAGCAGCAACAGAACCAGAAGCAGCAGCAACAGCACCAGAAGCAGCAGCAACAAAAATTCAACAATGGCATAAAGCCACAGAGAAATCAGTGAATTATACAACATTTAAGCAAACATACGAGCACGAATACGAGCACTTGTAGAATTTACCATCGCAAAGAGAGATGCATAGAAATCCGAGCTGAATTAAGTTAAGGCGTCTCCCCACCCTCAGCCGGGACTATGGCATGCCACATGCATCCACAAAAGACACAATGACGATGACTACAACTCCGACTCCGACTCCGACTCCAACGAGAAGCAGAAGCAGAAGCAGAAGTTGGCCAAAAACTGTGCACATCTGAATGTGGACCAGCAGTGGGCAGGGGGGAGGTGCAGCAGGGTGGCAGGCGGGCAGCTGTAAAGCTGGAAGAAAGGAACTATCGCAGCAGAAGTGAAATAAAGTTGAATGTAAGCAAACAAGTTGAACCAACAAACCAAGTCTCTAATTGTATTTGTGTGTGCATGTGTGTGTGCGCGTGTGTGCGTATAGGCGCTGCAGGCGTGGCACTCTGTTTTATGTGGCAAACCGGAACGCACCACTTTGGCTACACTTCTGCCGCCTGAAGAGCACTAGGTGGAAAATATGATGAAGCCAAGCAAAACGGAAGAATTGAGAGACTCCTTGAGACCCAGAAGAGAACAGCACCAGCCACCCATCCGACCCAGCCCCTTAGCCACCCAGCCACAGAACAGAGGACCCCGTTCCACCCAAGCCGAGAGCATTTGCGATTGCTAGTCCGATGTCCAACAAGACGTGAAATGCAACTTTTTTTCGGCACAACGCTCGAGCACAAAAGGAGCACCCAGTGGCGGAGCTTCCCCATGGAGCTTACTCACAAAAAGCCAAGCAAATGTACAAAAGCCAAACACAAGAATGCGGCGAATGCGACGAGTGCAAAAAGGATACACAAGCAAGGCAGGCAGGCAGGCAGGCAATCCCCACAGCAACGGGAACGCCCGCCCACTCACTTGATGGCAAACTTCAGCCAAATTTTGTGGTACAGTGCTCGCTGGCAGTATGTGGAATCTTAGGAGCCAAAATCCCTGCAACAACGACTCGAAAATGCCACGCGCATCCAAAAAGCAGAAGGAGATGAGGACTCGCTGATGTTGCAATAACAAAGCAGAAGAAGATGTAAGGCACACAGCCAGAATACACAGACCAAAAACGATTGTAGGGATTGAGAGAATTCCGACTTGAAGATATCCACTACGGCTCCAGGGCTCTACGGCATAGGAGATTGCTATCCTTACAGTACACTATCCATGCTGTGGATAGTAAGCAAAATGTAAGAGTGCTACAGAGCATGAGAAACAAGCTGATGAGGCATGGTGGCATTGGCAGTGCCTTTTCTGCTTTTCCAAGTAATTTCATCTGTCAGTTATCATATTTCCCCAGATACCATATACCCTTTTCTACACCCTGCAAATACCAGGGTATACAAATGCCGGAAATATGGCAGTGTTTGCTATTGTGTGCTGCTACGACGAAACGAACATAACTTTGATATTGAGAGTTTCAGTGTGAGCTGCTGGCACAATCGAAGGAGAGCCAGCCACCCCCCCAAGGACACGAGTACATTTGTTTATGCGCTCCGGCAAGATGTAAGATGCAAGCATCCTTCCTCCTCTCCCCTCCCCTTTCCTAACCGCCCACCCACATCCCCTGGTAGGCAAGCGTTGAAATGGAACAAATGAACTAAGTCGAGAATTGCCAACTGCACACACTTGAGTTGTAGAAGCACACAAAAGGAGCAGCAGCCACTGCCACAGCACAGCCAAAGAGAGAGAGAGAGAGGGAGAGAAAGTTGCCATCCAAACAAATGATTCCACAAGAAAAGTTAAACTTGTAAATTCAAATTTCACATTTGTCTGGAATTCGCAATTACACTTTGGGCAACAACAATGAAATATGTCCGCATGCTGTACGGTACACCTGCCCCGAGCGGTAGCACGGGCATACGAGTGCGCCCCGCTCCATCCACCCCCCGTCCCTTTCATGTCTCATTGTTTGGCTTGGCAAATGGAGCATAGAGAGTGGCAGGGAGGGAGAGAGCTGAGGGAGATGGGATGGGATGAAGTCCCAACAAAACAGTCGAACCGAGGCTCCTCCTAAAGCATATTGTAATAATCCAAATGAAATTAAATGTACCGTAAACATTTCGAATTACGAGCCAGAGAGATTCGGCAGCTTGGAGGAGCTTCTGGCATGCCCCACAGTGGGAGGAGGAAGAGCTTTTGGCATGGCCAACCAGGAAGCAGGAGCCACGTGAAGAGGCAACAGCAGCAGCAGCTACAGCAGCAGGTGCTGGCCTTGCCACACAACAGCGAGACAATAAAAATGTTGGTAATTGCAGATGCGAGGCATGGCCAATATTCACCAGAATTCCGAATGGAATGCACGGCTCGGAATGGCAGCCAGCAGCAGCAGCGGGGCCGGTAGAGTATGGTTAGATGGTTGCATGCTAATGGTTCCCTGGCATAATGGGGCTGCACGCTGCATACTTTGGTGGTATTACATCGAGGGGGAATCCTTTGCTGCAATTGGAAAGCATTCCATTAATGGTAAATCGGATCAATACACAACAAGAAACTACAATATTTCTGGTTAGAATTATTGAGAAAATTTCTTCATGAAAACTGTTCCATTTGCTAGGAAGCTTTCCACAAAGGCTACCTACCATCATCAACATTCCATAAACATTGCAAATTACCTTCCACCGCATGGCATTGCATCGCATCGTAAATCACAATAACTATATTTCAATCAGTTTGTATCGTAACTGCGATCCGTGGATACCACACAGACACGAACCTCCTTTCAACTATTCAATTGGTCGTCCCCGTTCGATGGTAAAGGACCATTAAATTAGCAAAAGAAATAAAGCGAACAACGAATGCGATCGACTTAAGTAAAAGCCGGCCGACAAAATTGCACATTTTACAAGTTTACGAACCACTAAAGAGAGTCAGAGCCAGAGCCAGAGCCAGGAGGAGCCCCCCTCTTCAGGCTGGAGGGAGGGAGTACACCTTTTGGGGGAATTTATTTCTAAAACAACTCTATCGCGATCACCGGGCGACGCCAATGCGGTGCCCATAAAGCCCACGATTTATTGGGCAAGTCGGCAACAATTTGACAAGCAAATTGCTATAATTTCTGGACATTCCCCCCAAGGCTCCTTCGCCGATCTGTGTGTGTTTGTGGGGACATGCAACCAGCCATCGAGCATGGAGCATGGGAGCTCAGTGCATTTCTTCGCGCTTTTATCTGTGGAAATTTATGTAAGCGATAAAAGTCTCAACGACTACTGGATCGGACACAGGACACAGGTCGGGGAAGAGCTCTTGCACCAGAGCTCTGCCCGCCTCTGGCCCCAAGGCTGTTCTGTGGCTGCCATCTAATTGCTGGCCATTTCCATGGACCATGGATTCCCGGATGGATCGCAATCGTCCGTTAAATTGCCATAATTTCGTTAGCTTTACGAGCTGCCAGAGAATCTCTGCCTGCCAGACATTTTGCACATCTATGTATGTATGTATGTATGTATGTATTCCACATTAGGCTTAAACACTGGCTCTTACGCACTGATCATCCATAATATATTTGGCGATCATTTCGGTTATTAAATCGCCATTAAATGTGTGACGTGACGTGACGTTACGTGTGGTCCGGTCCCGAATCAGAGATCATAAATCCCCAGAAAGAACCGACCAAAATGCATTACAACAGCTACAAAAAATGGCAATCATCATTAAAAATGCAAAAAAAAAATGCATAAAAATCAGTAATGAAAAGAGAAAAAGTACCAGCAATGTGAAAATGGCATGGGAGAGGAGAGGCACGAGAAGGGACATCATCAAAAGCAGCGATAAGAAAATGTTCCCCTTTTCTCCTTCTGCTTCACTCATTCTCTTCATATTCATATTGCCTTTGCTTTCCTCTTTTCATTCCCTTCCCTTTTCGACGAGTCATAAAAAAAAACTCGGTCGAAAAAGTCTGCGGACAGTGTCGTAAAAATTAAAAGAAAATCACATTTTGTCTGGTTTTGTTTTTAACAACAACAACAAAAAGTTGCCTCCATTTTTATGGCGAATTTTGGACTAATTGTTGCTTTTTTTCGGTGCTTGTGTGATTGGGAATTTCAAGGCGAAAGGTGAACCAAAGGAGGGGAGAGGAGACCAGACCAGACCAGTTTTGATGGCACTTGGAATGCCGTTAATCCCAACTTTATGTGTTAGTCTGAAAAGCCAATTTAATGGTTCACTTACCCCGCTTACCATTCGTTATCATGCTGATTCTTTGCTGATCTGATTCATAACCTAAAAAGGTAAAACGCGGAACAAGAAGCAGCAGAAAGCAGAATGGGAAAAATAAGTAGAAATAGAGAAAGAAGCAGCAGTAGGAGGGAGAAAGATCGATCATAGGTAAATATCACACATGCGCAATAAACACGGCAGACCCCGCTTTACCACACTACAAGCAAATCTCGAAAGTATCGATAGGCACTCGAAGTACTATCGATAAGCACGTTGGATTGAAGCTCGTGCTTAAAGTTGTTCTTGTGATTATTTTGCTGCAATTTTTGTTTGATTTCTGCATTAGAACATGGCCGAGGGTAACGACAATAATGCCCTGCGCTTTCTATCGGTAAGTGGGAGTACGTACTGCCCCTCGAATAATATCTTACGATTGTGCCTCCCCGAAGCTGAACATGAAAGACTGCCTGGGCTGCAAAGATGTGAGCGTGTCGTTCCCCGAATCGGACAACGTTCATGTGCTGCTCTACAGCGTTGCGAATGCGGAGGAGCAGCAGGCTGCCGGCACCATTGTCGCCGCGACACCTGTGGCCCAGGCCATACAGCTATTGTGCACTATGTCCTTTCCGGACGCGGAGAGCTTGAAGCAGGTGCCGCTGCTGAAGGTGGGACACGGCAGCGTGTCCCTGTGCTTCCAGATGTCGCGCATTGGTGTGCCACAGACTCAGGAGGACGAGGAGGACACCGAAAGCGACTTGGACATGAGTCCGTCCACCTCACAGCAGGCATCACTGCGTCTCGAGGAGCAGAGACTGCGCCGCGCTGCACGCAATCGAAGCAAAAACCTCGTAAACAAAAAGGAGGTGACCGTCCAGCGACGCTTCACTCCCACATCGCTGGAGTGGGTGAGCTATGCGGTGAATGGCGGCCAGAGTCGCAAATGCCGTTTGGAAGAGTTCCACGGCCTGTTCTTTGAGGAGGCCCAGTACTCGGCCATCCATCTGTGGGATCTGCAGCATAAGTGTGCCGGCAATTGGCTGCAGATCATCCAGGCAGACGCCAATAGCTACAAAAACTTCCAGTGGGTCTCGCATCGTATGAAATTCATTTAATGTGCCTGCTACATTTTCGATTCCTTTTTAGGACGCCTGAAAATCCATTCGAAACCTTTGCCAAGCTCTTCGAACGCCAGGATCTGGAGGAGGAGGATGTCTTATGCAAAATGGCCAAATCCTGTATGACCCTCAACGAGGCTGTGCGCCGTTCGGAGCGTGAATTCGTCTTGCAAGTCTTCGACCATGTGCGCCGCATATTTGAGTACATAACCATGAATAAGTACACTGTGTGGTTCCTGGTGCCAAGCCAGCAAGGCCTTCAGACTCTGCCAGAGGCGGTAAATGGGTATAATTTCCACTAAGTATTTCCTACAATTTTAATTATTTTTGCTTCGGCAGGAACTCGATTTTGATTTGCGTAATGTGCGCACATCCATCCGAATGACTGGCGATGACAGGAACATTTACTGGAGCCAATCGGAGCACAATATCCAGGACTTGCTCATGATATCCTTCCAATTGGCGCTGAGCCGCAGGGCCAATCAGTCAGTGCTGATCATCAGCCATTTGAAAAAGGTTTGCATTTGGGTTCTTTTCCCATTTCTGTTAATCGAATCATTATTTATCCCTTATAGCTGGCAGATTTCGTGAGCTGGCAGTTTGTTACTGCTTCCTACATGAACGATATCTATGCCCGTAAATCCACAGATCCTGTAAGATCCTCCTACACACATCCCTCACAATCACTAATGGTTTACACACTTCCAGAAATGGGTCTGCATGCGCTACTTGCAACGCATTGTGGAAATCGCCCAGAGCCATGGCACTATTGTCCTCATCGAATATCCCAGCTCCCTTAGCCTTCTCTCCGATGAACGGCAGGTGATCAAGTGTAAGCAGAGTCCGGACGGCAGCTCCTGGGACGTAAGCGTTTCGGCAGACGAAATATCCGAGTACTGCTTGGCAACCTTTAAGGCGTCCATCAACATGAACGTTGGCAGTGCCTAGCGCATAAGTTTTTCTGTCGAAGATTCCCCAAACATAGGTGAGACGCACAACGCTTACCCACCCAAGAATAGGGCATTTATCAACAGCTCATTTAATTTTAGCTTTCCAAATATGTTTTTCCATTGTTCATTTTCTTTTAATTACACTGCCAGTGGCTCCATTCTTCAGCTCCATTTCAATTAGGGTTTTGTCGGCTGTCAGTTAGAATGCCACACAGCCAGCAAGCCATCAGCATCACCATTCTCATCCGTATACGTATACTCATCCGCATCCGCATCCTTGCCGCCGCAACAACAGCAGCCATAGCCACTACAATGGCTGTCAGTCAAAGGCACGCGTCATTTGCTGGCGAAATGCATTTTACGTAAACCCAAAAGCATTTTAAGCTAAACACCCAACACCCACCGCACTCGACCCAGTTAGAAGACCGAGGCCAGGACCACGACCAGGGCCACAGCCGGGAGTTGCATCTGGATGGCATGGCATGGAACGCTGATGGAAGGAGCGACTGTCTGTCTGGCTGACTTGACTTGACTGATTGGCGGTTGTTTGGGCAACTTTTCGGCGCAAGATATTTGTATGTAGAATGTAGCTTCATAATATAATTAATATTGGTAGTTTTAGGGAGTTGCAAAAACTTCGAGATGAATTCCAAAACAAACAGAGAGCCGTAATACTATGCATCTCTTTGGTGCTGTGGCATTATATTATATCTCATATATCATTATTCCTTCAGAATTAATTCAACAAAGAATTCACAAGCTTATATAGTTTTTTTTTTTTAATTTGTTTTATATATTTTTTTTTATATCAGAGAACATAAAGAAGAATGAATACAAATGGGATTCGATACACAATATAAATACAAATAATATAGTACATATACCCAAAGAAATATCAAGATAAAATATATAAGAAAGGTTTGAAATAATCAAAGAAATATATCAAGATACAACTTTTAATAATGATTATGGAAAAATATCTAAAGATAAATCCATTTATAGTTGATTAAAAATAAGCCGTAATTATAATTTCTGCAATTATATTTAAAGTGAATATGATTCATAGTTGCAGTCACTGTTCTAAAATAACACCTTTATATCTTATGAACAAAATTTCCTCTCAATTTAATTGAGCTTAAGTTATATTTTAACCAGGAAAAGCGATATGTAGATGGACCTCCCTTTTGATAGAGAAATTAGTTTCTCTTTAGCCCACGGCTTCACTGCTTATGCAATTTGTAATTTATTAGTGGAAATTGTGGCCGCAGGGTCAAACGGGCAGCTGTTCGTCTACGCAGATCATAAATATGTAAAGAAAATGCATTAGGCTACAGGGGACTGCGACTCCGACTGTGTCTAGACAGGTTTCAGACACACGATGCGTGCCACATTTCGCACCTAGTCCATGCATTGGATGCTGCAGGAGATCGCATGCCCCAGCACTCAGCCAAATGACAGGCGGTCCTCCCCTGAAACCCCCTGTCCACTGTCTTCTATATCAATTGCGCAAGGAAATACATGTAAATGTTGAATATGGCTTTGTCTACCCTGTAATGGTGGAGATTACTAACGTATACGTATTATTCCAAGTGTGAAAATGTATGCATCAGAATTAGAATGTAAATTGATATGTACATTTCCGCTGTCTACCTGTACTTAGCACAACTTGTAGTACATACATAAAGAATGTTTCTCTTTAGGGCGTATCTTACAGTCGAAGGCAATTCTGATGGTTTCAGTTTCGGGCTTTTTCTGCTTCAGCAATTGGGCAGTGAACACAAAATGGAAAACCAAGAGCAGAAGAGAGTAAAAACGAAATGCTGAAGAGAGTAAAATTATTTTTTGCATATACTGAAAATAAGTTCCCGTCTGAAATATTATTTAATGGAACAATCAAAGACAAGAGAAACTTGAAAATATGTAAATTTAAATTCCAATAAAAAAGACCTTATCCTCCATGAATTTCATGTACAAGTATTATATTTATAATTTAAGTTGATTTTCCTAGTTATTTGTAGATTAATTTATGACTTTCCTTCCCCTTTCCTCCTTCCTTCATAAGTAAACCGAAAAAAAGGCGAACCGCTTTATGAAGTAATTATAAATTAATAAGCGGTCCAGGGCACCAACTGCACCTCCTTTTCTTTTCGCCCCATTAAGGGATCGTTTGGTGGTCCATAGCCAGCGTCTGTAATTATCCGAAAGTCGACTCCAGAAGCTTCCCTTGTTGTTTCCTTATATATATATATATATCTCTCTCTCTCTCTATCTATACTTTTCTCATCATTTTGGAGACTTTTAGCCGCCTCCCCTTAATCCCTTCGCCTTTGCGTTGACCGCTCAGCCAGCTGTTAAATGCGCAAAAACAAGTATTAAAAACTCGTTTCAACTAAATATTTAAACAGTTTATTATGCTGGATCCTCTATCCAACGCAATAGATGAGCGAGGGGTTCCTGCCACACATGTGGGCGTGATATTCCGCACACCGCAGCGCACCTTCACGGTCCACAGTTTATGTAAAATGGCGCGTGGGAAAATGCGCCAAAAGGAAATTTAAATATGAATTAATTATGATGCCATGCCTGGACCTGCAGGATTCCGTGTTGTGTGTCCTGCGCCCTGGCAGCTATTGAAATTTTTTTGTTGTCATTGTGGTTCTGCGGGTGTCTATGGATGAAACACACACACACATAGTTCTTGTTGGGGGGTGTGCGCGTGTTTTCCCGTTGATGTGGAATGGCATTTGTTGCATTTACCAAAAAACAAATAATAGCACTTACGGGGACGGCCTCGAGGAGGAACCTTGCACGTGGGTTCTGCAGGCCGACAATAATGGTGAGGGCGGCCCTATTGGAGCAAAGTTTTCCCTGAACTTGTGCGAAATGTTTTTTCAAAAGCGACTTAACAATCTGCGTGAAAATTATCTGACAACATGATAATTACTCAGAAAAATCAAGGGCAGAAAGAGAGAGGCGAAGAGCCAAACAGGATATTGAAAGTGTGTAAAAACAACTTATTTTATATGCCAGAAGATTATTTTAAAATCGAACATATTTTCGTATTTTAAGCGCTTACGTCAATTTCAACGGAAAACCTATCTCCCTTATTCATAAATTAAATGAATTATTCTCCCAAATGAAGCAAAAAGAAAACAAAGTCGATCTGAAAGTGTTTCCCATATGAAGTAGGAGTACGCGGAATAGTAGGCGCGTATTACGGTAGGTGGCAAATACAGGTGAAGTCGATAAGCAACAATCGATGCTGGCCACAGCACAGGACAAACAACAATATCCATCAGATGAGAAGGCGGAGTAGCCACGCCCCCGCTAAAGCATTTAATTTGACGGGTTGAAAGTATTGGTGGAATAGATGGAAAGTATTCCAAAGGAAAGGGAAGAGGAACGCACATGTAAATCGATTACATTGGAGCCTATGGTAGTACGTAATGCAAGGGTGAGGAGTAGTGTGAGGTGAGGGGGGATTGTTAGTGTGAGGAACTGGCGTCTACACGCCCACTTCATTGCCAATGATCGAGTGCAATGGACAGAGACCGTTGACGTTGCTAACCCAATTAAAATGTCGCCCGACCACACCAGACGACGAGAGAGAGCCCCTCCCATCGCACTGTTGCCTACTGATTGAGGAAGCCACTGTTTGGTCAACTCTCTCATTCCCTCTCCCACTCCCTCTGTCTCTGTGTCCTGTTCCACGTCCCGTTTTGGCCTGGGGCTTGGCACTTTGCCCAAATAAACCGCAAAAGCAAAAGCCACGAAAACGCTTCGCTTCTCCACTCCCCTCTCACTGACCCCTTACCCATTCCCTTTTTCACGCGGCTTCAATAGCAATTTGGTTAAATTCCTTTTTAATTTCAACCGCAGCTCCGCCCTTCTCCGGCAACCGCTTGACACCATTGAATTTTGTGCCTAGAGATGGCAGCGTGATGGTTGGAATGGAAAGGAATGGGCCTACAGGATTTAAAATAAAATGGAATTGAATAGGAAATGGAATTAATGGATTGAAATAAAAGGATTTAAACTTAAATGAACTCTAGAATAAGAAGCCTCTAGAACAAGTTCAAAGTGCAAAGTATTTCCCATCAAAGTCGAAATCGAATACTCACAATTGTTGAATGTTAAATCTGCGACGCAACCTCAACTGAAATAAGAAAGAAAATATGATAAAATATTAGTAGTAGTAGGAAATTGTTGTGTTAAAAATTGTAGCTACACAATACAATTCTTTAAAAATTGTTCTGAGATGTTCTAGAGTTATTAGCATAACTCTGCCCATACCAATCGCATCACTAATAGATTGCTTTCAGTCTGTGCAGCCACTGCTTTTTTTTCTCTGTTGTTGCAGCATCAAATTGAATCGAATGTTTTGTTTTAGTTGTCGCTTGCCATCGCCTGCTGACTGTCCTTCCATCGTATCTTTATACTTTGTCTGTATCTTTCTCGCCATAAACGGCTTAAATTTCATTAGCATCACAGGCTAGACATCGTAGGGAATCCAACAAAGAGCTAGACATCAACAACAGCCTAACAAAAAGCCAAAACGAAGAAGGAAAAGAAGAGTGATAAATGCCTGCGATATTCCCTCCCATCCTCTGCTATCTGAGCCAAAATACAATTTTGTGCTAAATGTTTGCTTATAAAAGAGGCATGACTCTTGTTTGAGTTGAAAGAAACAAAATTTAAGGGAAAATTCATCTCATAATTTACTTGAAGGAAAATTGTAATTGTCTTGTCTTGTCTCATATTTGTGATGTGTAAATATGCGCAAATTGTGTTTCTCACATGTTCATTGTTGATTCGCAAAATTTTGTGTGGGGTTTGGTATCGTGGGATAGGGTCCGTTCTCCCTTAATTTTTAGAGCCATGTTTTGTTGTTGAACTTCTTCAAAGTTGGGCAAAACGCGTGCATTTAATTTGTGCTTATGCAATTATCTTTCTGCTAAAGGAGGAAAAATGGGGAGAAAATTCTGTTAGAAAAGGGAAAATTTAATTTGCTTTTCCCGGTATTTTATTTGCACAATTTAACAAACTCACGTTCCTTTCCTTTGGTTTGGTTTCGTTTTGTTCTGTTTCTCTGCTTAGGCATATATATCCACTGGCCAGCGGATGGGTGCAGCTCCTGCAGATATCCTTTTGTTTGCGACAGGGCGACAGGGCCTATGCGTTTCTGCTGCATTCTAATTGGATGAAGGATGCATTTATGGCTGGCCAAGCGTGCAATAAGCCAATCGAAATTGTGCCCAAAGTGAAGGTATTGGGGACTGATGCATGGGGCTGCTTCCGTGCGATAACAAAGTGTTTAATTAAAATGAACTAGGAAAACGGCGTACCCTAGAAGTTGGGTGGAACATCAATCGCTGGGCAGCGGATGGAAGCAGTCCTTGCTGACATTTTTGAGCTAACGATAGGGTGGGGCTGCTGCATTCGCATGGCTTAGTAGATGCATTCATAGCTGTCAAAGCGTGTAAAAGGCTGAACGAAAATGGGGCAAAGATGCAGTTTCATATCTAAGCTCTGTTTGGTTCTGGGGGAGTGCTGCATGGGGCTGCTTCCGTGCGATAAGAAAGCAATAAATGAATTTTCAGTTGCTTCCCCTCCTCCTCTCTTTCTCGCTCGCACACACCCTGCCTTGTGCAATGCGCGAGTTGTTTCATTTTTAGTTTAGTTGTTTTGTTTCAAAATAATTTTACCCTTTTTTTTGCCAATTCTCTCCCTTTTTTCCGTTTATTTTTAAAGAAAAACAAAACAAAAAGTTTGATAATTAAATTCCCAAATGCACATCATAATTCAGTCCGATCTTATTTACACTTCATAAATATTATAGTATGTACTATTTTCCCACAAAAAAAGTCAAAGGAAGGGAAAAACATTTGCCAGCTAATGATAATTGAAATTTTATGATTTTCCGCATTGAAAAATTCGTGTGAAAATTTTAGTATTTATGGAATTCAAATATGTGGTGGGCGTATAAACATATTGTCTGTGTCGGGATTTCTATGTACCCTTAAAGAGGATGTCATGATTTCTAACAGATATCAGATACTAGATAGATTTTCAGAATTTTCAACACAACATTTTTAAATGATTCTTTAGGTTTAAGATTTATAGACTAAAGACTATGATATTTACATATGTATGCGCCATAGGAATATATGAAAGAGCATCTGTTGACTTATGGGCTACGCTACCA